CTTTGCAATAATGATCCAAAAATGGGATAAAAACTTATTTCCGATAGTATTCTTCTGGGTTACCAGTATGGTTATCTCTGTTTGCCTGGCGTCCAACAACCCGGGGAACACTTAACGAACACTTTTTAGTAGTTTCTTTTGCTTCTGCGAACATTTTTGCAAATGTGGCGTTTGCATTTCTCCTCTTATCTTGAACTTTGCTCAACAAGTTATCTGCACATCTTACACAAATGCTCAAATCGCCTTACACACTCAGCAATAGACGCACTAGATTTAAGGGTTGGAAGTATGCACGAGTCTGGGTATATAAGCCCAGGCTCAGAAGAATAAATATCAATACAGAACTAAATACCATCAAAGTCAAGTGTATTCGTTCATAGATATACATATGTACATCTGTATGAAGTGGATATGACAGTCCGCAAGACCGACCAACAACAAATTTTCGGGTTTACTATTCTCGCAGGCAGCAAGAGTTACGCACACAAGTGTGTGTGTGCACGCTCATCGCGAAAATATTTTCATACAGACGCTTGACAGACGCTTTTATGATTTCGGTAAACCCTTCACTCAAAAGGAAAGAGCTGGGATCGTCGCAAACAAAATTCAATTCTTGTGCGCTGCTGAGTTCGGTGATTTGAGAGACGATAAAGAGATAGAGTGAGAGAGAGAGAGTAAGACAAATAGCGCATAGCCGTGCTTCATATAAGGATGGGACCATTTCGTTTGAGCGCTTGCAACGCACTGATTTTGTCATGCAATATTTTCACTGCTCGAGCCTCAAGAGACTGAGCCGAGCAAATACGAAGTTGAGTAGTACCTAATGCACATTTTTTCGGTGKTGAAAAAGTTTGTTCTACATTTCTCATCTATGTGTTCTTTGGTCAGTGGTATTACTTTTAATTCATTTAATTAGGTATTCATAACCACTCTGTGAGGTGGCTAGCCCATGAACCAACTTACATTGTGCTCGCGTCGGAGGAAGAAGAGGTTATAGAGCATAAGGTTTACGTTTGTAGGATATAGAGATATACATGAAGAGTCTCATTTTCTAGTTCATAGCCGGTAAGGCTTAGATTTGTAAGGCATAATATGATGAAGTATGGTATTGTTAGTTTGTAGTTGGTAAGGTTTAAGTTTGTAGTATGTAAGCTGATGAAGCTTTGAATTTGATTTTGTAGCCGTAAGAGATTGAAGTCATTGTTATAATTTATAGTCGTAAGAATTATAAGTTTGTAGTTCGTAAGATATTGTTAATTTCTTATTAAGTAGTCATAAGTGTCATAGCAAGTTTCGTTTGTAGATTAAGTAGGATTTGAATGGTAGGCGGGCGCGCGATCGTCAATGCGACCATGCAGCTTAAAAGCTTGCTGTGGTGAGGTTGCATTGCCGACGCCGACCAAACAGAATAGCAGCGAAAGCTGACGCTCGGGCCGAGCAGCCACGCGCAATTAATATCGAAACTCGTCGCGAAAACGGTAAATTGTTGTAGAGAATTTGGCAACGCAACAATCAGGTGAATAATTGTATGTATAAGTTAAGCATGAACGAAGAAAATGGCATGTATTCATTAGTAGAGAGATTATTATTACTACTTTAAAATGACTACTATTTAGAACCCAAATTATTAAATTTATATTTTCCATTGTCAAAACCTTAAGGCTGATGTCAGAGTGGCCGCGATAAGCGATGCGATAATATGGAGCGACAATAAGCGAGAAAGCTCTACATGCAGATTTACATGTAATCGCTTTGAAACATGTCAGAGTGCAGCGAAGCGAGAAGAAACCCAAAGCGAGAAGTAAAGCGAGTTGCGAGAAAGCATTCCTGAATCGTTTTCTCGCTTTATCGCATGATGGAGCTTTTTTGATACGTGTGTTTTCGTTGCGTGCTGAGCTTAAATAACCGTTGGCTAGTAGGGGAAATATATTCTTTTTGGCAATTCAAGCAGTATTTCTCTCTTTCACTCTGACATGCCATCGCTTTGTAGATCGCTGCGATAATTATCGCTTATAGCATCGCATCACTTATCGGGGCCACTCTGACATCAGGCTAAGCCTAAAAACATTTTTACTTTTACTCAAAAAAGGTTGAGTGGAAAGGATTGACCGGTCCCATACAATTTAAAGAAGGTCAACGCATTCAATTTAAGCTCGACTTAATCAAGTTAAAGCAACATTCTATAGTAAAAGTTGGTGAATGGACGCCTCATAATCATCTTAATATAACGGAGCCTTCATTATTTTTTGAAGCTGGTTCGATGAACGTAACGTTGGTCGTAATTACTATATTGGTTTGTGACATATATTTCAACATTAAAATTCGTCCTTTAAAATAGTCTTCAATATTTTTTTAGGAAACGCCTTATGTGATGATGCATTACGGAAAAAACTATACGGGAAATGAACGCTTTTACGGATTTTGTGTTGATATTTTGGAAAATATCTCGCATGAAGTTGGATTTGACTACATATTAGATTTGGTTCCTGATAGAAAATATGGCGCAAAAGATCCAGAAACAGGTCAATGGAATGGAATGGTGGCTCAGCTTATGAAATATGTAAGCATAATCATTTGCGAAGAAAACTTTTTGTATTATTTTCTCTGATTTGAAAAATGTTTTGCTTTCAGAAGGCGGACTTGGCTGTTGGTTCAATGACAATTACATATGCTCGAGAGAGTGTTATAGATTTCACTAAACCATTCATGAATCTAGGAATAAGCATTTTGTTTAAGGTATGAATGTAGTTATATTTCAACTTTCATCCGTTATAAAGCATATGACAATTTCTATACCCTGAGTACTTTAAAAATTGTAATTCAAAGTATAATGGTTTTGTTCAAATGTGTGTATACAACGGAAGGCGTGGCTCATCCTTGAAAGTGTATATTCCTGATAAGGACGACGAGCTGAGTCGATTTAGACATGTCTTTCTGTCCGTATGTGTAGACGCGTCTTATATTTTTTTTGTAGGTCAATACCGGCTCCTGTTTTGGTGTTTTGGTTAACAATTACTAGTTGCAATTCACTAAAAATCTCCTATATTTTTAGACTTGGAGATTTATACTTTAAGAAAATTTAAAATTGGCAGAAGGACGCATGGAGACTCTAGTTCTAAAGATGTAGGATATATAATTTTTTAACTGATTAGATACGGGTTTTAATCAAAAATAAAAAAACAGGAATCGTTATCGTTCTTTTTGGACACAAACTCGATCAGCGCGTGAAATATCCGGAACTAAGAAAATAATTTCGCGTCTCTAACTCTTATATCTTCTGCGAACGACGCGTTTAAGCATACGGGCAAAGGGACAGACAGATAGGAGTAAATCTACTCAGTTCGTCACCCTAATCTATGTGTAACAGCACTTGTAACTCGAGATCTGCTGGATCAATTTTCATGGTTTTTGATTTATTGAATTTGTCTCCGCCCGGATTAGGAGAGTATATCTTAAAAATACTACAAAATTGACGAATACTTGAAAAACGCGCTAATTTCCCAGTAGGCTTGATAACAGTAACAGTTTTCGGCCCTGCTCTCATGTTAAACAATTATTCATGCACATTTGATCAATACGTGAATGAATAAACTATTATGTGTATTTTTTTTTAAAAAGATTGAAAAATTTTACGCGTGCGTTCAGAAGCATTTGTGTAAATTATTTATTAAGTTAAAGATTTATTTTACAGTTTATCAAAAGTTTAAATGTCTTTTCATAGGGGGTCTCGATTGTTTTATGTGGTTTTGTGCGAGTACATATTCAGTATTACTATTAATAAAAATGCCGCGTCGTAGAAGATTTAGAAGATCTTTTTCCCATCGGAATATCGCGAGTCAATCGAAAAACGAAGAATGTCGTTTGCCACAAGGTACTTGAATGAAAATTCGATTAATAAATTAATCAAAGTGTATTCCAACCTGAACAACATACATACATAGTTTTCAGTGACTTTTTTCTGACATGTGTTAATTTAATGTTAACTTAATTATTTCTTTTTTTTTTAATTTTTATTCTCATTCTGTACGTTTTCATCATCATTCATCATAATAGAATACTTTTATATTTCTATCTATATTAATATTGTTTTGTATTATAGTATTACGTTCATCAAAGCCTAAATTAGTTTAGCTAAAAGGTTCTTAGACTTTTAGGCGGTACGAAGTTCGCCGGGTCACCTAGTCAATAATATATATACTTTATGGGGTCTGCCACGCCTCCTTTTGCCTGTTATATACATTTCATCAAAACCATTAATATACAGCAGCATAAAAATATCGAATAATGAATGAAAACTTATTTATTTAGGTACCCACGACGGAACCAACTCGACTATTTTCATTCATGAACCCATTAGCAATCGAAATATGGATTTATGTTTTAGTGGCATATATACTTGTATCATTAACAATATATTTATTAGCAAAGTTATCTCCAATTGAATGGCGTAGTATACATCCATGTGATATTGATCATTTAACAATAAGTAACCAATTTACTATATCGGATAGTTTTTGGTTTACTATTGGGACGCTTATGCAACAGGGGTCAGATATATATCCGAGGGCTATCTCTACTCGAATTATAAGTAGTATTTGGGGATTTTTTTCCCTTATTATTGTTGCATCATATACTGCGAACTTGGCAGCATTTTTAACTGTTGAACGTATGATTAACCCTATCGAAAACGCTGACGATTTGGCTAGCCAGACAGAAATTTCCTACGGGACTTTAGAAAGTGGATCAACAATGACTTTTTTTCGGGTAAGTGTAGGTTGAGCACATTTTAAATTTATATAATGTATATAAAATATTTAATGTTTGTATAAAGTTACCACTCACATAGCGAAAATTGATGCACCTCAGTAAAATTTGTATAAAACAAATAAGAAAGATCTAGTCGAGACTTCTCGACTCTCCCCTAAATCGTTCAATATTTCAATAATTATTCGTTTCTCTTCTGCTTACACAACAAATATAACGTGTATAATTTAATTTGTTTCCGATAATGTTTTAGATCGATAGCAAAATAGCTGGATCAGTTATCGATTTTTTGAGAAAAGCTCGATATACGTGATATCACTGAACACAGACCGAACAAGTAGTGTAAGGCGTTTTGCACACTTTTTTTTCGGGAGTTATCTCCCAGACCATTTCGTATTTGCTCTACTCTTCACTTTTAGGTTCGAGCTACGAAAATATACGAAAGCACAATCATTTCGCTTCATGCGCTCGACCGAGATGGTCGACTGTTGAACAAAAGATCCCTCTACGCTGAATGTTTCCCTTGTTGTCTCTCTCTCACGATGCTCTCTGCTCTCTCAGATATGTATATGTATGTATGCATGTCAGCACAAGCAGCAGCTCACTAAAATTGAAATTTCTTCGCCTTAGACTCCCGTTTCTTCCCTTCTGTGTAAGAGTATATCGAACTCTTCAAACCGTTTGCCAAGTTCGTACAAAATATTTGCGTTTTCGTTATTATTAGTGGGAAGGGTATGAAAGCGTTGGTGCGCATAATGAAAATTCTTTCGCGACGAGCATGCACACACACACAGCTCTCTAGCTCTTATAACCTCTGAGATCGACGCATTCATACGGACGGATGGACGGACGGGCGGACAGACAGACGGACAGGGCTATATCGACTCAGCTCGTCGCGCTGATCAAGAATATATATACTGCCACGCCTCCTTCTTCCCGTTACATACTTTTTCACAAAACCATTATGCCCTGATTTCCCATTTTCAATTTCAAACTTATAAAAAGTAACTTATAAAAAGTAAAAAAACTATATAAAAAGTTTGATGAGTTCGATATACTCTTACACAGAAGAGAAGAAACGGGAGTCTAAGGCGAAGAAATTTCAATTTTCGTGAGCTGCTGCTTGTGCTGACATGCAAACATACATATTCACATTTGAGAGAGCAGAGATCATCGTGAGAGAGAGATAACAAGGGAAACATTCAGCGTAGAGGGATCTTTTGTTCTACAGTCAACCATCTCGGTCGAGCGATGAAGCGAAATGTTTGTGCTTTCGTATATTTTAGTAACCCAAACCTAAAAGTGAGGAGCCGAGCGAATACGAAGTTGTCTGGGGTGCTATCCTTCGAAAAAAAAGTGTGCAAAACGCTTTACACTACATGTACAGTCTATGTGTTCTCTAGTTAGTGATAATAGTCTAGTGACGGCGATATATCGAGTATCGAAGTCAGCAGCATCGATATTTTCGAATGCTATGAAAAAATAGATATATAGTTGTTATATCCATGCTATTCTACACTAACCATAGAACACACAGACCGGACACGTAGAGTAAATCTTTTTGCACACTCTTTGAGCATAAGTTCCCAGATTATTTCGTATTTGCTTGGGCACCTTATATTTAAGTTCGGGCTACGGAAATATGGGAACGCAAAATCATTTCTTTTCATGCGCTCGGCCGAGAAGGTCGTCTTTCAAGTGAAGTCCATTATGCAATAGAATAATTATACCAAGTGCAATTCTTCTCATCAAAATATGCAGAGTTCCGCACTTAATATGTACAGGAATGGTTATCAATAATTTCTCATTTTTAATGTATTTGGACCCTGCTACGTGTTGTATATTGAAATATATTCGGGTTTACAGTCCAAAAGCACTTAGATACAGCGGATCTTGCATCCTCGCGACTGCGAATGCGAACTCTGCAGTCGGTAACGACCGACTGCAATGTTGATATATGCTTAGTATGTTACAATTATTTAACTGCTGTTTTGTAGATACTTAATTTTTAGACTCATTCACGAATGTGAAATGAGTATATTGGTTTTGTGCAATGTCCGTC